GCCTTTATTTTTATTTTTTTGGTAAATTACACTCACCTCCCCTGAGATTTGAAAAAAATACGAATAACCCTATACTTTTGACATAATTATACTAACCTCTCCATTAGTAAAACTAAAGTGACTTAAAACAATTCAAATGGTGGGTAGAGACTGATATAAATAAAGATAAATATACATTTTAATATAAGGTATTTGATAATATTTTTTTTCATTCATACGATTAACAAATTACTAATGAAATATGACCTAACAGTTACCTAAATTAAAATTTTAAAGGAAACCAACGTAATAATATCGAAAGTATAGAACTAATTGTATTTTTTTCAAATATCAAGGGAGGTGAGTGTAATTTATCTTCTTTTTTTTTTCTTGTATATAATACGTATTATATATATATATATATATAACTTAGCACATACATTTTAACACATTTATTGTAGCATTGCTCACTTTTTAAATTAACAAACTCTTAAAACATACTTTTGGACATTACTTTTATTACCTCTTGTCATACTTTAGTAAATATTTTTAACCACTCCATTTTGCATACTCTAAGGGCTGAAAAAGTTTATAAAGTTATTTTAAAATGAAATTGTGAGAAAAGTTTAAACTTAATGTATGACATGGATTACATTTAAAATAAATCTGATCAAGTTTTTGAGTAATTTTCTTGAGCTTTGTATTATTGTTCTAAAAATATACATGTTACTACCATGGATATATGTAACAAATGGTTTAAGTAGAATTTATGATGCTGACACATACATGTTTTTAGATCTTGTTTTTTAGTTGTGTTGCATGAGTTTGTCTTTAATCATTCATTCTAGATAAATTAAGCAAGAGTTTCTCAACATGATTGGCCATGTTCAAAATCCTTGTTTGAAGAAATTCAGGATAAGCTCTCCTTTGTACCTTTATGTCTCTGTTTATATTCTTTTTATGGATTTTAATTCGGACTTATACCGATGATTTGAACCATCTATCTCATACTTCCTGCAATAAAAGTCATCTATATTTTTTCATCAATAAAGTTTTCTTTTTATTGATATATATAAATATATATATATATATATATATAAAAGACATCTATGTAAAAAAATAAAAATAATAATTTTATTGGACATTTATAAATACAAGAATAAATCATATTTTATTTTATAAAATAAATGATAAATATGATTGTTAACTTAAATTATCTATTTTGTAAAACAAAATATAATTTATTCCTGTATTTATAGTTGTCCGATAAAACTATTTTTTACATAAATAATTTTTATTACAAAATTTAAGAAATAAATGATTCAAATCAACTATGTGGGTTGGATTAAAGTCCATAAAACAATTTAAAGTGATTTGAAGAGGAATATGAAGGAAAACTTGCCCTGAAATTCACAGTTGCTTTCAACTATAAACACAAAAATATCAACAAGACATTCATTGCATACCTAATTCAACAGCGTCAACACGTATATATAAATCTTGGCCCCCAGTTGAAAACTCTCTTGTGTCCATCAAGTCCCCATGCCACGTCACACATCCACTCTCAATCCCCTCTAGTGAGATCTCCGCACTGCTATACCCTTAGCATGAACAGTTCTTCATGCACTCTGTTTCACATTCTTTTAATCTAATAGTTTTATTGACAAGTGCTGCCGAAGTGTCTGGTAACTATGACTGTAAATGAACCGAGCTGTTTCTGAACAAACTTGACTTGGCTCGTTAAGGGCTTGACTCTTTTAGTAAACGAGCCGAGCTCGAGCTCGCATCAGCTCGGCACGTTAAGCTCGGCTCGTTTATCTTTATTTAAATTATATAATAAATATATTATTTATATATTAAATAAGATATAAATATATATAAATAATGAGCAACAATGAATGAATTTGCCATATCGGGTGACTGCTAACTTGTGTGTAGAACAATAAAGAGTAGGCATGATGCATTATCCTCCCTGTAAAAATTCTAGGGTAAGGAAATCAGGAATGAAATTTTGACTACCACGAATATATTCAATATCAAAATCAAAAATACTTAAAATACATTGCCAGCGGGCAAAAATATGTTTACTAACAATTTTTGAACAGCTTTTTCCGAAACATATTTGGCACTTTTGCAATCAACACGTAATAAATTTTTTTGATTTAAAATATCATCTTGAAATTTACTAATACATAAAACAATAGATAAAATTTATTTTTTAATAGTACTATAATTTTTCTGTGCTTTATTCCAGACACCAGAATGGAAGTGAACAATTTGTTCAGATGACTGAGAAGTGATTTTTTGACGGGAACAGTGGTCTACGACCACGAAAAGTAGCGTACGGCCACTGAGAGATGGTCTACGAGACGTCATCCAAGCTCCACTCCACTAGGCGGATGACTATACGGGTCATCAACACCCTTTCCTCAAGTTCAAGGAACTCTTGCTTTAGATTGTTACCTCCAATCCTTGTATAGCAAATATGCCTTTCTAAACAAGAATTGTTGAGCTTGTTCATCATTATCAAAATCATCCCCCGATAACAAACTGTCTACAAACATAATAAGACAATTAGTACATCAATTAATTTAAGCAATTACAAATAACTTAATAACGACATTATGGGAAGATAAATCTCGTACTAGCACCGCTTGGATGACCGCATCTTTGGTACTTTCATTGATTTTCCTCCATGACTTTCACGCTCTGAAGAGGGCAACAACCGCTAATTTGCAATCCCAACTCATTCGCGCTGGGTTGCATTCCCTCCTGTGATTACGTTCAAACACCCGATTGACATACACATGTAATTTCTCTCCTTTTTTCCTGTCTATTCTTTTTTGCACCCTTTGCCCAATGTATGTCCTCGTACACGAGTTGATCTTTTTCGCCCTGCTACAAAAGGGGAAGCACGCCACAAATTACAAACAGATTTAAGGAAAGATGTTCGAGTATTGCTTGTGCTTCATTTT